TTTCCTTTTATTCTATGAATGTCTGAAATAGCATATTGTTTCATTCTTAGATGTTAAAGCACTCTCTTATTCCTGGAATAAATTCAACTTGGTTATTATGTATAATCTTTTTATTTGATTCTAAAGTAGGTTTGCTACCATTTTGTTGAGGGCTTTTGTATCTTCATAAGATACATTAATACTTAGTGGGTTTTTTTGATATCTTTAGTGTAATCCAGATAATACTATTCTCAAAATGATTTGTTTTCTTTATGCCTATATTTTTATTTATTTATTTTTTAAATTTTTTTTTGGGTCCGGTCGTGGGACCTGAACTCTGGGCCTGAGCGCTGTCCCTCAGCTCTTCAACTCAAGGCTAGCGCTCTACCACTTGAGCCACAGCGCCACTTCTGGCTTTTTTCTTTTTGCTTATGTGGTGCTGAGGAATCGAACCCAGGGCCTCATGCCTGCAAGGCAAGCGCTCTACCACTGAGCCACCTTCCCAGCCCTATGCCTATATTTTTAAAAAAGACTTTATGATGGATTGGTAGTAATTTTTCTTTAAATGGTCTTTAGACAGTTGTCAAGTTACTAGTATTTTGATTAAGAATTATAACTAAATATTCATTTCACAAATTAAATTGTTTTGTCAACTATTCTTCTATAAGAAAAGCACTTAAGGGACTTTGATTTACCAAATTGTGACTTTTTTCTTTCGTAGATCCTGTAGTTTGTGTGGAAATCCCTAAGACATGACATCTAAGAAATTTGTTATTAAAGTAAGTAATGCTTAATAGCTCTTTAAAAAAGTGGTTGGGTGAATTCTATGTTAATTAAAAGTGGAAGTTCTGAGCTTTCTTTCTGTTCTTTACATTAGGGACTAAAACCTTTAAGTAGGCATATTAACATGTTTTAAGAGTAAGACGGAGAACTGGGTTGCAGTGGCTCACATCTGTTATCCTAGCTACTCAGAAGTCTCAAATCAACCCAAGGAGAAAAGTCTGTGCTACTCCATCTCCAAAATAACTATTTCAAAGTTGAGCTGGAGATGAGGCTCAAGTGGTAGAGTGCCAGCAGAGCAAACAAACCAAGTGAGCGTGAGACCCTGACCACAACCCCCAAGCCCTCTAACGAGATTGAGATAGGGAGAAAATAGTACATATAGTTAACGAGAACTTCTTTGCTTAAAGTCTTATGTATAAGATGCTTTATTTTGGTGGGGGTGCTGGTCCTGGAGCTTGAACTCAGAGCCTGGGTGCTTTCTTGAGCTATTTTGCTCAAGGCTAGCACTCTACCACTTGATCTACAAAGCCACTTCTGGCTTTTTTGAGCAGTTAATTAGAAATAAGAATCTTACAGATTTTCCTGCCTGGGCTGTATTTGAACCATGGCTCCTCAGATCTCAGGCTCCTGAGTAGCTAGTACTACAGGTGTGAGCCACTGGCACCCAGCTCTAAGATGCTTTTTGATTATATTTTATTCTTTAATATTAAAAATTATCATTTAGTCATACACTTTGTGCATCTGTGGCGTGGTTTTATAACATCAGATAAAATGTCAGAGTAAAAGAAACAGATGGCAGTGCTATACTGGATATATGCCAATGAGATTCCTTTTTGGCTACATTCTGTAATTTTCATCTTATAAACAAATACTCCTTCTCTATCCCTTGATGATTGGAGCTGATACTTAGGTATAAAAGAATGGGAGGATTGTGTACGAAAGGAGAGAGGAATCAACCAAGGGTTAAGTTCCTGTAGCTATGTTTGTATACGTTGAGTATTCTTTAGGTAATTTTCTATATGCTAGTGTTCTCTGTGTCAGTTGAATATATCAAAGTATGAATTATAGTAGTTTATTGACCAGATGAAATCTTTTTAATATTGCAATTTTATCTTATTTTTAACCGAATCAGTGCTTACAGATTTCATTGTTAGTATTTGCTTCTTGTATCTTTGTGTTTCATATGTAAATGAGGAGGTTGTGTAAGTGGTAAGAGCACCAGCCTTGAGGGAGAAAGATCAGGGACCGGCAAGTACACGCACATGTGCATACATATACACACAAACAACAGCCATTTTATTATCTCTCCAGTTGGCTGGCCTCAGTGGGTGGTTTCTCTTTTTTTATAAATTTTATTTTATTGTAAAGATGCTGTACAGAGGGGTTACAGTTACATGAGTGAGGTAATAAGTACATTTCTTGTCGTGCATTGTTGCCCCCTCCTTTGTTGTTCTCCCCCTCCCCCCCCCCCCACATCCCCTACTCCTTTCCTCATGCCACCCCCTCCCCCCGAAGTTGTAAAGTTCATTTCTAATATACTGTCTTGTGGGAATCATTGTTGGCAACTGGTCATCCTGTGTCCTTGTTTCAGCGTTTTGTTTTTCTCCTTCCCCTTCCCAAATTAGAAAAATGTATATACAAGATGCAGGGTGGGTTCTCTTTTTGATATTAGGCTTCACTTCCATTTGGATGGAACATCAAAGGTAGTACAGTCCTCTCCTGGCAGTCCAGTGAAGGCTGCCTATAGATGGGGTCTCACCTGGGTCTATATGTCAGTTCTTATCCACACAGCTACTCTGCATGGCTTGGGCTTCTCTTAGCATGTGTCTGAGGTTTGAGAAGCCAGATAAGAATTGCAAAAATAAAGCAATGTGATTTGCTCGTGATCAGAAGGTTATACAGTATAGTCTCAGCTGCCATATGTACATTCTGATGCACAAAACAGGCCAGTCCAGAGTTAAGGGAGTCTGGAATTCCTTCTGCAAAAAGCACCAAATGCTACAGGATGGTGAGGATTTATAGTTGTATCCATGAAGACAAATCTCTTGTTGGACTTACTGAGATTTTTTTTTTTTTAAAGGTCACCATTTTTCAAAGGAATAAGGTGAAAAATAAAATAAAAATAAACTACTAAATAGCTCCTGTCCTATGAAATTTATAGTTTTGATTATGGACAAGGTTATCCATATAAACTAGAAAGTTCGTGTGTGTGTGTGTGTGTGTGTGTGTGTGTGTGTGTGTGTGTGTGTATGTGACTGGAGTGGTGGGAGGGGTCAGTACTGGGGCTTGAACTCAGGGCCTGTCCATTATCCCTGATCATTTTTGCTCAAAGCTAATAGTCTTCCACTTAAGCCAAGGTTATCCATATAAACTAGAAAGTTCGTGTGTGTGTGTGTGTGTGTGTGTGTGTGTGTGTGTGTGTGTGTGTGTGTGTGTGTGTATGTGACTGGAGTGGTGGGAGGGGTCAGTACTGGGGCTTGAACTCAGGGCCTGTCCATTATCCCTGATCATTTTTGCTCAAAGCTAATAGTCTTCCACTTAAGCCACAGCTCCACATACAGCTTTTTGCTGTCTCATTAGAGATAAGTGTCTTAATGGACTTTCCTGCCTTGACTGGCTTTGATCCTCAGATCTCGGCCTCCTGAGTACCTAGGATTACAGGCACAAGCCACCTGGTGCCTCGTTCAAACCAGAAAGTATTGTATGAGGATAGCTCAAAATTATGTATTCATGTTACAAGCATTGTAGTAGGCATTGAAAATACACATAATAATACTAATTGAAGTTCTTCGCAACTCTGGATTAACTGAAGTGGGTTCACAAGTGCTTTTTATCATCTATACTTTTAGGGTATTAGGATACCAACTCTCCACTCCTTAGTTATTATATCCTGGTTCTAGATATTCAGACAAACTTGAACCTTCCAAAGAGGTGTTTTTTTTTGTTTTTTGGGTCCGGTCGTGGGGCCGGAACTCTGGGCCTGGGCGCTGTCCCTCAGCTCTTCAGCTCAAGGCTAGCGCTCTACCACTTGAGCCACAGTGCCACTTTCTTTTTGCTTATGTGGTACTGAGGAATCAAACCCAGGGCCTCAGGCATACAAGGCAAGCGCTCTACCACTGGGCCACCTTCCCAGCCCCCAAAGAGGTGGTTATTGATAGTGTGCTTAGAGGTTTATTTTATTAGTCTTTTTAGAGAACCAACTTCTAGTTTTGACTTTTTTCCCCCTCTAATGCACTTCTTATTTCATTGGTTTCCTTTATTATCTATATTAGTTCCTTCCTTTAGTTGGTTGAATTTACTCTCTTTTTACTGTTTCTTGGGGCAAAAACTCAAGTGATGGCCATCAAAATCTATCTTCTCCTAGTAAATGTACTTAGAGCTATAAATTTCTCTTTAAGTATTTCCTACATTAACTGTATTTTTCATATTTTTATGGAGATGAAGTTGAAGTAGGGATTTTGTTATTGATGAAGTTAAAATAATTTGTAATTTTTATTGAGACTGATTTTGATTCATTTGTTTATATGTTGTTTCTTATTGAAGAATTTCTAGTAATCATTTTAAATTGATATTTAACAGAGTTCCTTCATTTTTGCAAATGTTCCATAAACATGTGAAATATATGGTGATTGGTTGTAGGGAACAACTTATATAAAACAAGTTCTTTTTCTCTTCTCTCTGCTCCCTCTCATATAAAACATATAATAAATATACATATATATTTATATACTATACCTACACATGGATATAGTATATATAGTATATATATATATATAGTATATATTTTAGTATATATATAGTATCTGTACCATATATATACACACATAATTACTATATATACATAAATAGTATATGCTTATATAGGTTTGTGTGAATACATGCAAATATTGTAATTCTATTCTTGTTTAAGGAACATGAGTAAAGGTGATAGGAGATTTTACTGGAAAAGAAATATGGCAGAAGCCAGGAGCCGGTGGCTCACGCCTGTAATCCTAACTACTCAGGAGGCTGAAATCTGAGGATCGTGGTCCAAAGCCAGCCCAGGCAGGAGTGTCTGTGAGACTCTTACCTCCAATAAACCACCAGAAAACTGGAAGTGGCACTGTAGCTCAATGGTAGAGTGCTAGCCTTGAGCTGAAGAACAGCTGAAGAACACTGAGGAACAGTGACCAGGCCCAGAGAAAAGATGAAAAAAAGAAAGAAATACTGCAGAGAAAGAAAGCATGTGGCATAGATATGCCATGAGAAGACAGTGCTTCAGCCTGTCGGATCCACCTTGCCCTGTCTTAACTTCTTACAGATCTTGGCTTTGGATTAAATAGTGAGAATTGGAGCTTTTGAAGATAGCATTCTAATAGAATTGGTGGGTTTCCTTTATGTTTCCTGTAATGCCAAAGACTTATTAATAGCCTTGTCCTTATTTCCTTATTCTTTTTTTTTGGCCATGGGACTTGAACTTGAGGTCTGGGCACTGTCCCTGAGCTTTTTTGCTCAAGGCTAGCACTCTACTACTTTGAGCCATAGCTCCACTCACAGTTGTCTGGTGGTTAATTGGAGCTAAGAGTCTCATGGACTTTTTCCTGCCTGGGCTTGCTTGGAACTGTGATCCTCAGACCTCAGCCTCTTGAGTAGCTAGGATTACATGCATGAACCATCAGTGCCTGGCAGAGTTTTTTTTTTTTTTTGGTCGGTCGTGGGGCTTGAACTCTGGGTCTGGGCGCTGTCCCTCAGCTCTTTAGCTCAAGGCGAGCGCTCTACCACTTGAGCTACAGCGCCACTTCCGGTTTTCTGGTGGTTTATTGGAGATAGGAGTCTCACGGTCTCTCCTGCCCGGGCTGGCTTTGAACCTTGATCCTCAGATCTCAGCCTCCAGAGTAGCTAGGATTATAGGCGTGAGCCACCAGCGCCCAGCCTGGCAGAGTTTTTTTATGTTTATCTTTGGGTGAGATTTTGCTGTGGAATATTAAAAAACTCGGTTCTTTATTCTTTTGTGGTTCTTACGTCCTCATCATTTTGTAGCCCCCTGTCCCCATTTTGTGGTAAGGTGAGTTTGGGTTTATCAGTTTATCCTGCCACCTGCAGATTTTATAGGCTACAATTCACTGCCTACTTTTCTGTAAACTCATATCAATAATGGATTGAAAAGAATGGAGGAAAATTAAGAAAATTGGAGGTTAGAATTCTAGAAAGAAAAGTAACAGGAAACTAACAGCAGCAATGACAATACAATGTTGTAGCTTTCTTAATTCACCAAGGGAAAAACAAGATTGTGCAAATTAGGGGAATTAGGTAATATGGTAAGTGATTCAGCACTGAACATAGGTTATGTTTCATGATATTGAAAACTTCAAGTTTTGAAAGGCTCAGGAAAGGACTTTTGGGAAGGACCATGGGAATTAGCGTTAAGTCCTCATAAAGGTGATAAATGAAACAAATCATAAGCCATTATAAACACAGTATTTAGTGTGTTTATGATAGTGACTACCTAAGTTTTCAATGTGGGTGCCTCTAGCGGGTGATGGTGATAGCTGGATGTACCACCTGTGTTGGATGAGTTGTTTTAATCTGTGTCTGTACATTAATATACTAGCATTTCAATGCATTAATTTATGCTGATTATTGTATACAGATGCACGGTTTGACTCTGGGTTGAAAAATGTATCATTCCAAAGTAAGAAGAACAGCTGATGGACACCAAATAGTTTGCTACTGCTTTCAACTGGTTTGTTTATTTTAAATCTTCAATGTAAACAGTTTATCCTCTTTCAAATGAAGAAGGTGCTCTTGCCCTTCCTGACCTAAATGCTTTTTTTTCTCTTAACTGTTACGGCACTAGCCATCAATTCTTTTCCATATCTAACCCTTCGTTTAGATTTCCAGCAAATGATCAGAGTCCTTAGATTACAACTTTTTCAGGTTTGGACCACTGCAGCTCATGGCAGGGACTTATGACCATACTTCAGTGACTCTTGGTTTTGTTGACAAATTCGTAGCAGCAGATATATGTCTCTACAGTTTACAAGGAGATCCAAGTTTTGCACTCATCCCAATATTTAAAAATTTCCTGACTTATAAACTTGTAAGAGGAAAATCTGGACCAAATGGGTTTGTAAATTGTAGTTTACATCACAGATGTGAATTTTGTAAATGAAGTTTTATTGGCACACAGCTACCCCTGTTTGCTAATGAATTGTCTCTGACTACTTTTATGCTATAATGGCAGAGGTGAATAGTTGCAACAGAGGTCTTACAGCCTTTGAAGTCTGAAATGTCTATACATACATAGAGTGATTTATGTGTGTTATATGCATAAAATATATCACTTTTGCAATTCCTAGTAGCACATTTCAAATACTTGTTAGGTATAAGTAGTAGTAGCTGTAATGGATAGCACAGGTTTATTTAATTAATTTTTATTATTTATTTATTTTTTTGTGTGTGGTCCGTGGAATCCAAGGTAGGGTAGGCAAGTGCCATTGAGCTACCTCTCCAAGGTAGTGGGCAGACAGATCTAAATGGTTGCATCCTTCTGTACTCTTACCCATTGGCAGAGAAAGCACTCAAAGAAATTATCTTGAGTTAAACTGTCCATAAGAGTCGGATAATTTGGCAAGGCAAAAGCAAGGCCATTTCCTTTGTAACTAGAAGCAAGAAATAGATGTGGACACTTATGCAGAGTTTTAGAAAAAAGAAATCTGAATAAAAATTATCTCTACTGTACATGATTATCTATGGCAAAATTTATGAGTCTATCCCTGGCTTTAAAAGTATAGAATGTTGCCAGTCTTTCCCCATAATACTTATATTTTAAGATTTGAATGTTTAACTTGGTTCCAGAAAAGCAGTATTGTGAAAATTTCCTACCTTATTGTCTGTCTGTGTAGATCATTTCCCGTTTCCTGCATCTGTTTTCTTGGATTAGTGAGGTAGTACACCAAAGTCTAGAATTCTTTTCACTACAAAGATTACTTTACTGCTTGCCCTCCCCCACCTCACTTTATTGTGGGTGGGAAAATTTTTGTTGGGAGGACTTGATTAATTAGAAAGGATTCCTGGCTTCTCTAGCAATGACAGCCTGGGAAGATTACTGAACCTGGCTTGGTGACAAGCAGACCAATCTGCATTTAAGGAAAAGCTTGGACCAGCCAGATTTGCCTGGAATGTGCATCTGGCTTTGTCTTCCACTGAGAATGTGTATTGACCCCATCCTCCTCTTCCCACCCATTGTAGAAGGCTGAAAACTTTTACTTTTTCTATGGATAGTTGTCCAAAATAGTTACTAAGGGCGGGGGGGGGGGGGGGGGGGGAAGGGGGGGATGAAACTCAAGTTACATTTTGAATTCAAAGTAAGAGGTCTGAAGATGGTTGAATAATGTTTAGGAGGCAAGGAAAGATCTTGCTTTCCTTCTCTCTCTCTTTCTCCCCCCTTCTCTCTCTCTCTCTCTCTCTCCCTCTCGCTTTTTCTCTCTCTCACCCTCTCTCCTTTCCTCCTTACATCTTTACTATGTTTTCTTTTTTACTCCTTTAGAGAAATTACAGTTTTGTGTTCTGCTCTGAATGTAAACCTTAGATAACCTTACATTCATTAGGATAGTAGGAAAAGGGAAACATTCCAAGAATCGGCAGTAATTTTTCCATTATAGTAAAAGTAAACATGAGGAGCAGTGCTTTAAATTTTCAGAGAAAGAGAGAGCTGAATAGCAAGTGGTCTGTCATTAGTCTTTTGTCTTGCCAGCTTGCCTCAATGAATCACTTAAGTCCCGTGTCCTAGGTTTTTGGTCTTCCTAAAGGGGAATGTGGCACTGACTGTGTCAGAGTGCTCACTTGAAAATTGATGCATCGATTTCGTGAGTCACTGAAAAGAAATGTTATGCAAGTATTTTCATATAGATTGTGGGCTAGGTATTGATTTACTAAATTTTAAGAAAAAAATGGAAAAAACCCTAAAGTACCTTAATAAAATAGTATTCTAACTAGTTAGACTTTATGCAAGAAATGAATTTGAATGTGACCTGTATCCCTGAGACATCTATCTTTGTGAAACCTTTCAAGTGAAAGGATTATTATGATAATTAAACTTACTATCTTTCATCCTCTATATTGCCATCTGTTTTTTAAAGAGCTTTATGTTTTAAAAACATAGTGATTCTGTGCACTTGACAACAGGCTGAAACTTATGTAAGTTGATAGGTTTCCCCATTGTATATGATCAGTTCTGTTGTATTGCCCTTGCTGGTAAACATATTCAACAAAATGTACTGATAACTTGATGAAGTCCAATGAAATTCCTAAAGACTCACCAGCACTTACCCAGTTAATTCTACCTTAGGCTTTTATTCTACCTTATAGCTTTTATTATTTATTTATTTTTTAAATTTATTTATTTTTTTGGTTGGTTGTAAGGCTTGAACTCTGGGCCTGGGTGCTGTCCCTCACCTCTTCAGCTCAAGGCTAGCATTCTATCACTTGAGCCACAACGTCACTTCTAGTTTTCTGGTGGTTTATTGGAGATAAGAGTCTCACGGACTTTCCTGCCTGGGCTGGCTTTGAACCATGATCCTCAGATCTCAGCCTCCTGAGTAGTTAGGATTACAGGTGTGAACCACCAGCGCCAGGCGCTTACAGCTTTTAGGTACTGCTTACTCATTGAGTTTAAAAACCTTTTAAACTGGCTTTTACATTAACAAGTTCCTGGTATTACCAATGATGTTTTGTTCCTCATTCAGTCACTTATTCATCCTCTGTAAAGTATCTCTGGTTTGCTCCTTCTTTTCTTTCTACTTTAAACCTTATCCTTGTTGTTTTTCTGTGCTATTGACTCAAAGATATCAGCCTCTCTTATTTTGTGATTCTAGTTCACCTAGACAAGTGCTAGGGCACTGTTTTCATTACACTATTTTCATCATGATATTTTCTTGCGTAAGTGATTACAGTAATTCCTTTTGTTTAATCAGATATACTGTTTACTCTCCAGCTAGACTTAAGTATGCTGATAGTTAATTGTTCCCTTCCTCTTTTTTTTTTGGGTCCAGTCGTGGGGCTTGAACTCTGGGCCTGGGCGCTCTTCAGCTCAAGGCTAGCACTCTACCACTTGAGCCACAGTGCCACTTCTGGCTTTTTTTTCTTTTTGCTTATGTGGTGCTGGGGAATCGAACCCAAGGCCTCATGCATGCAAGGCAAGCGCTCTACCACTGAGCCACCTTCCCAGCCCTGTTCCCTTCCTCTTTATACCTTTGACCCATTTTTTTTTCACCCTGTAACTTGGGGAAAAGACCTACTTATCTTTATAAAATGCATGCATTTGCAGGTCCAGTAGTGATCTAGTCTGTAATTCTCTCTTCTTATTTATTAATTTTCTTTGGTCCATGCCCACCAGCTTTTTCAGGTTGGCCAATGAGTGAATTATTTTGTTCTTTGGTACACGATCCAAATGTTTTCCATGCTGATTGACCTCTGTGTGTGTGTGTGTGTGTGTGTGTGTGTGTGTATGTGTTCGTGTGTGTTCGTGTGTGCGCGCACGCGCGTGTGCTTTTGACTGATAGGTGCAACTTATTGAGCAGCTTCTCCACTTGTTTCTATCTGTATGTGCATGTGTGTTTACATAAAATTCTCTCAAATATATCCCCTGAGAAGGACCTTTGTGTGATATGCTTTAAAAAAAAAATAAACACAGGCCTTGGATGTTCTAGAGCATTTCTGAGGTGGCCAATCCTCCTCTCCTTTCTTGTTCTAAAGATGAGAACTTTCTTTCCTCCTGGCTTGTGGAAAACAGAGATATCACTGGAGCTTATGATTATTTCTTACTGATCTCTTTTCAATTCTAGTCACACAATGGTGTAATAATCTTTAACTTGTGATATAATTCTTTTCTTAAAATGTTTTATCTCCAACTGGAGGTAGAACATTAGCTACGAGGGAAAAAAAAAGTGTTTCAACTCAACCTATTTCTTTTTTTTAGGAGACTACAGTTCTCTTTTGAAAATATTTATAATAATTCTTTTGAAAACAGTCTCTGTTAAATAACAAAAATGACAGTGTGTAGAATTTGCTTCTCGATGCCTTTCAAGAATACATATTAGTTAACTACTTGGAGTTAGATGTTGAGACTTTGATTTTTTTTCTCTAACATACATACAGAGCCTGTGCTTTTATTACTTACTTTGTGTAAAATTCTCATTAGCAAAATAGACTTACCAGCTATATTACTTCTAACTACCTTGAATTCTCTCTGAGGGCTGTAGAGGGCATCATTGTTCTGTATTTACAAGGTAACTTCTCTATAGACATAGATTCAAGGAAGCCACAGCAACTAAAGTGCTTTTAAAATCACTAGTTCATTCCTAGGTTATGATGTTAGTTGTATACAAGCTATTTTGTTGCACATGTGTATGCTCAGATTGTTTCTCTGGCTAGAATATTCCCCTTCATAAGACACTGCAGTAGGAAATAGGAAATGGTTACAAACCACTAAAACTGTCCAAAGTGGTCTCAGGGTAAGCATTCACAAGACTATCTCCTGTGTCCTTCTGTTCCAGATTCAGGGATCTGGAAATGATGGGCTTGAGAGTAAGGATCTCATTTTTCCTTGGAAAGCTGTGGGACCCTAGCAGAGAAGTCTGGGAGGAGTTATTGCAGGGAACAGTGAGAAGAAATTTGGAAGGCACAGTGCTATTATGATGATTGCTCTTCCTGTCCACCTTTCCTCACTCTTTAGTGTCAGTT